GTGTCTCATGCGCCAGTTTGCGTCCGGTCGGAGGCAGGCCGAAAAGTACATTTGCGCGAGGGCCTGCTCGGAGTGTCCTTGTGCGACCACTACAGAAACTCTTCAAATCATATGCATATGCTTACAATAAATTTCCTTTCATTTTTGGGTAAATGCCATATCGAGACGTCAGTCAGCAACTGTGCATGTACAAAACTCTTGGGTTCTGGAAGTTTCACAATATCTGCAGGCCACTTATAGGGTGACTACATCTCACTCAATGCAACAACAAGTCGACGCTGCCACGGTCCATTAATAGCTAGCGTTCACTGAAGACAACCGGATTATCCAATGCCTGTGGACTAGGGTAACAGGTGATTTTATTGAAAGTGCAGTGCTCCTAACAGTAAAGATAATCCCCACCCCCTTAAATATGACAATCAACCCATTTTCTCACGACTTTGTACTGTCCTTTATTTTTTTAAAGTAAACTCATTTCCGCTTGTAGGAGCTGACAACGTTGAAGAAGAACATTGCCACAATGGAAGTGGAGTTGGAGACCTTCTCCGACCTTGACGCCGTTCGTGAGTCCTCTGAGGATAAGCGCAAAGCCGTGAGTTCTGCGTTTTGGTCTTCTTCATATCTAAGAATGCCCTTCTTCAATACTTTGTCTACGCGCGCAATATTAATGAGAATTTAGTCCGGTCTTACTCTCATAACTCTTTCTTTGTATTGACGTGACTGAATAAACATTCTTTTTGGACGAACACTATGTGCCGTCAAGACTTGGCTGAAAAATCTTTCAAATTTTATGCTAGGGAAACGTTTCCTATTCGTTGAACCGTAGTTATCTAACGGGTGAACGTGCCGCGTCAAACCGCACCTATGTTTTGAATATCCTAAAGCGGACGGAATGGATGTTGCGGGCCTTTTGCGGTCGTTACTAACGAGCAAGGGTAACAGAGTTTCACTTGTTTAGTATTCAACTTTGAAACATACCTTTTTGACCCTCAGTCAGTAGTTGATCCAGATTGATCTTCATACTCTCTATTGACATTGAGTCCGCTATCAGCCGATACCAATCGCGAAGCGTAGATTCTAGATGGAACAACACTTGGCCGAAAAAAGAAGCCGATTACAGATCGCTCCTGCCAGTGTGACCGCCTGTTGTGGACTGCAGACCCGGGATTGCATGACCGAACAGAAATGTTTATTTCCGTTTCGCATTCAACAGAGACCAGAGGACACAGCTCACTGAGCTTTAAGGACTGGCGTCTGTGGCCCGCCTAGGTGGGTAGTTGATCTCAACGGCAACAAAAAAGAAACTGCTCTAAACTGTCCTCGAAATTACACAGGGCAGACTGGACACATGCTTGGTTCGCGCATACACGAACATAAGCTGGCTGTATGACGGGGTGACGCATTATCGCAAGTAGCTGCCCACACCTACGGGACGGGTCATCAGTTAAACTTCGCAGCTGTGAGGATAATTACCCACGCCGGTAACAAGACAAGCCGACAATTGATTGAGACCCGTGCCTCGGACAAGGCCTAAGACAATCGATTTATCGATCTGGCGCCGGCATGGATAGCCCTGCGCATATATCTCCGGGCTGATGTCACTGTTAATTGATTGGCCCCTGTCCCCTATAATCGTTGCTTGTTTTTCGATACCGTTTTTATCTCTGATTGGCACAAAATCCCGGCTTCGCCTTGAGACTCCCTTGCCCATTACTGTCCCTTATGTGGGCTAACTGCATGATATTTACTATGACTAAGTCATGCTTGATGAAGTACTTGGGAAAAACACGATTCTTCCAGGTTTTTCAAGTGACCGTGACTACCTGGACGTAAGTATATGGGTCGAAGTGGTAGTAGGTCAAGTGATTTACGGTCAGGCTGGCTTCCTTCCAAACAATGAAAGCAGTCAGACGATCGGACAGTAGAGAAACACACACACGCGCATGCGAGTGCGCGCGCGCGCCTACAAAGTGAGCGCGGTACGGACACACACGCGCGCAGAACAAGCAAGCAGCGTTTCGAGCAGGCCCCTTCGACCATTGATAACGGAGACACACACGACAGACAGGCAGACACCTCACAGATGATGGATTCCAGTAAGAAGCGTCGAAGAGATGAACTGTTAACATAAACTAATTGTTGGACATGTCCCTCCCCCCTTCCCCTTTGATATCTTAACAATTCCCCCTCTCCTCCTTACTTACCGCTGATCGGTTGCTTAAACTTTTGCTAGCTCTACCCCCTTTATGTTATTGTACATGCCTGATGATGAATTAATCGAAAACGTTCGTTCGCCTACCTTGACTTCCTGACTCCATTTAGAGTCCAAAAGCTCAGGCAAATAAAACCGCGATTCCGGTGATCGATATGGCTTCTTCTTCTTCTTCTTCTTCTTCTTCTTCTTCTTCTCTATCTAGATTGATTTATTTCGAGCAAATGATTAATTTATCGGGAAATTAAATAGCAACAATTTCAAAACTAGAGTATCTACCAGAAGGCACATGGTTAATCACCTACTCATGAGCCCAATCCAACGCAACTATGCTATGCAGCAGCAGAATATCGGGAAAATCCGCAGCTGGGCTTTTAAGTAGTACCCGCGCTGTCATTACGGTGTATCATGTAACCTGAAAAATATTTTTTGGGACAAGTTTATACAGGATTTGACCGCATGAGAGCGTTTCCTTGTCCTCCTCAAAGGTGATTGTCCGGACACTAGATGGAGTTCTGTCGTGCCCAACAAGATGCGGGCATCGTACGAGGCCCGACAATATCACACGAAACCAATGACGCAATACGGTCACTGAAGCACCTTATGAGTGAATTAGACATCGGTCTGTGAGTGTCCTACGGGGTCAGATTCAAAATCAGAAGCCGTATTTGATACCCACATAATCTGTTGATGCACTAAGAAGCAATGGCCGTGGTCTGAATGGTCTACTACAGAAAATAAGGCACTCGCCCTCACTTTTAAGTTTACGCCCACGAGGGGAACCTAGTGGTAAGCTGGATCCTTTACTGTTGCAGCATGCAGTTGCAGAAACTTAGCCAAAATGCGTCTGGGCTCTGTACAGTCTGGAGCATTCTAACTTAGATTTTGACGCTGTTGTCGTTCGAACACCTGAGATGCGAATATTCACTGTAAGTAGTAAACATTTTCTAGTCTGACTTAAAATACATTTTTTCAGCCTTCCCAATCTTCTAGTTGCTGAAGGAACAGGAAAGCTATTCCATCCTACAAACATATTACTTAATTGATTTCAATAGACATTATATTTTGCATTGAATGTGGCTCAGGCGAACATCTCATTTTGGAATTGCAGTCTGACTTAAAATACATTTTTTCACTCTTTCCAACCTTCTAGTTGCTGAAGGAACAGGAGCGCTATTCCACCCTACGCAATCAACTACACGAGGCCAATCAACGCCTCTCTAATGAGTACTCCGAGACCCAGCTGCAGCTCTCCTCACAGGACACGCATATTCAGCTGACGGCGCTAGAGAAGAAGTTGGTACAGCATGAGCAGACGGCCTATGCCCTGCGCGA